GGGTGGGGGGGGGGGGGGGGGGATTTAATATGAATGCCGCTTCTGCTTCATTAAATGTTTTCCCCAACATTTCGAAATCTGAAGATACAATTTTAACCATATCTTGACATAATCTACAGTATAAATGTGTTTTCTTCACGGTGGCATCAATCAATTCAATTACCAATTTCATAACAGGTAGTTTGGTGACAGTCCAAGCGTAACTATTCCCCGAACAAGTCCTGACCTGTCAATGTTCCTGACCTTCCAGAAATGAACATTTTTCTCCCTTTAAACATAGAACGTACGTCTTGATTGTCTTGTTAAATGGTAACATAGCATAATAATCACAATACAACAACAGGTGGAGGTGATAACATAACACATTTATCACAATACAACAACAGGTGGAGGTGATAACATACCACATTTATCACAATACAACAACAGGCGGAGGTGATAACATAACACAATACTAACAATACAACATGAGGTGCAGGTGATAAAATAACACATTTATCACAATACAACAACAACAACAGGTGGAGGTGATAACATAACACAAGTATCCGAATACAACAACAGGCGGAGGCGATAACATAACACAATAATCACAATACAACAACAGGTGGGGGTGATAACATAACACAATACTCACAATACAACAACAGGCGGAGGTGATAACATAACACAATACTAACAATACAACATGAGGTGCAGGTGATAACATAACACAATACTCACAATACAACAACAGGCGGAGGTGATAACATAACACAATACTAACAATACAACATGAGGTGCAGGGGATAACATAACACAATACTCACAATACAACAACAGGTGGAGGTGATAACATAATACAATTATCACAATACAACAACCTGTGGAGGTGATAACATAACACAATTATCACAATACAACAACCTGTGGAAGTGATAACATAACACAATTATCACAATACAACAACAGGTGGAGCTGATAACATAACACATTTATCCCAATACAACAACAAGTGGAGGTGATAACATAACACAATACTCACAATACAACAACAGGTGGAGGTGATAACATAACACAATTATCACAATTCAACAACCTGTGGAGGTGTTAACATAACACAATACTCACAATACAACAACAGATGGAGGTGATAACATAACACATTTATCACAATACAACAACAGGTGGAGGTGATAACATAACACAAGTATCCGAATACAACAACAGGCGGAGGGGATAACATAACACAATAATCACAATACAACAACATGCGGAGGTGATAACATAACACAATACTCACAATACAACAACAGATGGAGGTGATAACATAACACATTTATCACAAGACAACAACAGGTGGAGGTGATAACATAACACAATACTCACAATACAACAACAGGTGGAGGTGATTACATAATACAATTATCACAATACAACAACAGGTGGAGGTGATAACTGTCGTAGATAGTCAGACGCCTTAACCACCCGGCCACCGTAGTCCCTCGACCCAGTGGTTGAGAGGTAAGGGTTGTAGACAGTCAGACGCCTTAACCACTTGGCCACCGCAGTCCCTCCACCCAGTGGTTGAGAGGTAAGGGTTGTAGACAGTCAGACGTCTTAACCACTTGGCCATCGCAGTCCCTCCACCCAGTGGTTGAGAGGTAAGGGTTGTAGACAATCAGACGCCTTAACCACTTGGCCACCGCAGTCCCTCCACCCAGTGGTTGAGAGGTAAGGGTTCTAGACAGTCAGACGCCTTAACCACTCGGCTACTGCAGTCCCTTGACCCAGTGGTTGAGAGGTAAGGGTTGTAGACAGTCAGACGCCTTAACCACTCAGCCACCGCGGCCTCTAGCTGCTAGCCAAATGACGTTTGAAACTAAAATATCTAGAACAAGAGGACCCAAACGTTGTGACAAAAGTGCCATATATTATATTTATAAAGTGCATTCCTTAATCGTTTTTACGAAAGCAGTTTGTTGACAAGAGACAAAAATATATAATCGCTGGGGATTTTATTTCGTGATTGAACTTTCAAAATTTTGAAATAGATGCAATTTGTTAAAAATTGAAGACATTGCATCAGATACAGCTGATACAAGGGGCCACAAAATTGTATTCCAAATTGTGTAAACTTCTGTAGAAACAGAGGGGCAGGGGCAGGAGTGCGTATAACCCTTTAATTTATTCGTTTATAAATTAAGAGGATTACTTGTTAACTTCAAATAATATAATCTGTAAAGAGTGTATATTATGGAATTTGTCACTACTCAAAAGAGATGACTGTGGCCATCAAGGCTACAGCAAACCTCGGCAGTCCATGTACATTATGTAATATCTGCACTTTGAAGCTTTCCTAGACATTGGTAAGTTGTTCTATATATATATATATATACTGCAGACTAACAGTGCTCCCTCCAAGTTGATGGGATAGGTCAATTCATTATGTTTTTGTCATAAAAATTAGATATAGGGTGTTAAAAAAAAAAGATAAAGCTACCCATATTACCTAACGACCCAAGGAAAAGTATCTAAAACCTATAAACCATAGGGCAAAATAACCTTGTATTACCTACCGACCTGAGGGAAGGTATCTAAAACTTATAAACCACAGGGCAAGATAACCTTGTATTACCTACCGACCTGAGGGAAGGTATCT